GGGGACTCCGCCTGTTCATAACCTACATTAACTCTGGAGCGCAGCTTGGGCCCATCTGCCGGCCCCCGCCCCACCTCGGTTCCCCACGCCAACCCGCTCGCGCCAGATGGTGGCTGGGAGGGGTGGCCGTGCGTGGGGGACCCCGGAGCCCGTCTCCTTACCTCGCCCCTCCCCCAACCCACGCTCCCAACCTCTTGTTTCTCATCCTTCTCCCCCAATCCTCCACTGCCATCCTCAAGTTTAAAAAAAAGTGTGTATATATATATGTGTGTGTGTGTGTGTGTGTGTATGTATCAGATTATGCTCGGCCTAGGCAGCTGTTGGGTACCGCGCCTCCCCCCCAAAAAAACTCCCCCGGGCCCGGGCCGCGTCCCTGCTCCCCCCCGCGCCGATCTTATCACCCGACGACAGCCATCGCTGTGCGGGCGGGCTGACAGCTGAAGCCACAGGGCCCCTACCGCCCTCAGCGTGGCAGAAAGAGAGCTCCCCGGCACCCCTGACACTGGGAGAAGCCAGCCCTCCCCAGTCTAAAGCCTCCGGGGATCACTCTGGTTCCGGGAAAGCAGCTGCACTGCCGCCACTCAGAGAAGTGGGGCCACCCGGGGGTGCCGCGAAGGCGAGACGATTGAAGTGAAGCCGCCAGAAACTCAAACGAGTCCGCGCGCTTCCAGATCAGCCCTACATCTTGTCGTATGAGGAGAGGGCCCAGGTCTGCTCGGCCTCAGCCCGTAGCCTTGACTCTAGTGATTCGTGCCAACTCTGGAGTCAGGAGAGTTCCTCCCTGCCCCAGCGGAGCAACAGGATGGGGCGGCGAGGACTTGGGGCTGCTGGGGTTGGGGGAGAAGGTGGGCACTGGAGCTGAAGCTAAACCCAGGTGAGGGAAGGCGCTGGAGGCGGGGCAGACCCTTATTACCATACAGCTGAGGACGCGCCCCCCTTCTACCTCCGGGACCACGCCCCCCTACCCCCAGCGCCGGGACCACTCGTCTGGGGGCTGGCACGCGCCGAGCCCAAGCAGGGGGCAGAAGGGAGGAGGCACGCGCTGGACACGCCCCCCCCGCAACTAGAGAGACGCCCACCAGGTGGAGGGACTAAGCCCCCCGAGTCTTAGACGTTTGGCTCCTTGTCTTGCTCATAGTGGCCAAAGAGAGGTTAATGCGTCCTCTGGCTTCCTTGCTGCGGAGCGGGGGAGGGGGCGTGGTGGTGATGGGTGGGCGCTCACAGCCTGGGTGCCAGAGACGTCAGGGATTCCTAAGCTCCAGGAAGGTGAGGGAGATCTGAGTTCTTCAGCGTTGGTTTCGCTTTCTGAGCTTAAGTTCTTTTTACCTGCTCTAGGGCTTCAGGTAACTAGCTCCGGCTGCGGACACACCGCCCACGGGGACTCCCCAGTGTCTCCGCCCCCACGACCATCCGGGAACCGCTCGCTCACCTCCCGCCCCATTCTCCCTGGCCCTCCCTCTATCCTCCCACAGCAGGGGTTCAGACCGTAACCCTGCGATTGTGGAGAACTGGTCACCTCGGCACGCGCAGAGCTGGGGGACCCAGGGGCTGAGAGCGGCACGAAGGGGCGGGGATCTGTGCCTGACTGGCTGGCGGGGAGGGGGGGTGGCGAGGGCGGAGGCCCCCTTCGGGCGGCGCTGGGGCTCTAGCAGCTAGAGGCCCGAGGGGAGGGGAGAGTGACCACGAATCTGAGTGACAGGCGGTGAGAGGAGCCAATATATATAAGGAAAGCTCCCGAGCGCGCAGGTTTCAGTAGCGGCGCTGAGCGCAGGCTGGGAACGCGAGGCCAAGAGCCGCAGCTCAAGCCGCCTCAGTGCTGTGTACCCAGGCACTAGCCTGCTTACAGCCCCAGGATTAGCCCGAGGACACGTCCTCAGCGTGGCCGCCGCCCAGCCGCCCTCACCTGGATTACCTACTGCGGCAGTTGGAGCTAGCCAGTAGGCGAGGCAGGAGGAAAGCCCCGAGCGGAGCCTGGCTTTTCAGGGACCCCTCCGGCGGTTGGACGCGCGGGAAAGCTTCGCAGCCGGCGGGTGGAGAGAGCGACCGCCCCAGGGAATGGCAGCAGCGTCCCGTAGCGCCTCTGGCTGGGCGCTACTGCTGCTGGTGGCACTTTGGCAGCAGGTAACGTCCCGCGTCCCCTCCGCCCCCTCCCGCCGTGCCCTGGGCCGGAGCCCCAGGCGTCCGCCGAGCTGACCGCTCTCCTTCCTCCTTCCCTCGATTCCTGTGCAATAGCGTACAGCTGGCTCGGGAGTCTTCCAGCTACAGCTGCAGGAGTTTGCCAACGAGCGCGGCGTGCTAGCCAGCGGGCGGCCGTGCGAACCCGGCTGCCGGACCTTCTTCCGCGTCTGCCTGAAACACTTCCAGGCAGTCGTCTCGCCCGGGCCCTGCACCTTTGGCAGCATCTCCACGCCTGTGCTGGGCACCAATTCCTTCGCCGTCGGGGACGACAGTAGCGGCGGGGGACGCAACCCTCTCCAGCTGCCCTTCAATTTCACCTGGCCGGTGAGCACAACCTGGGCGCGCTGGGAGGTCACGAAAGCCAAAAGAAGGGGGCTCCCTGGGACCAAAGCCCTCTCCCCAGATTTCCATGCTCCCCTCCACACACACACACACACACACACACACACACACACACACACGGGGAATCTCTCTCTTCTGATCTTTTCCGACTCTCCTGGGACATCATCCTCCCATAGGCTCTCACCAATCTCTCACTTTCCAATTCTATGTCCTCTCTTCTCCCAACTCTTGGAATACGATTTTCATCACCTACCAGCTCGGCTCGTCCTCCACCTCCGAATGGCTCTCACGTACATTCCCCAATCCCTCAACCCTCCTCCTACTCTGGATTCTCTCGCCTTGCCTGCTCGCGGTCGATGCTGTGCGCAGACCCGTTATGTTGACCTGGGTGCAGTAACTGTATCCTGCAATTAGTTTAATTAAATCGGCTGCCGCAAGGCACTCCCACCTCCCCCCCAGTTCATCTCGCTCTCTCTCTGTCTCTTCCCCACCTTTCCGTTCCCAGGGTACCTTCTCACTGATCATCGAAGCTTGGCACGCGCCGGGAGACGACCTGCGGCCAGGTAAGTAGCTCGCTCCGCGGCCACAGGGGGGCGATACGGCGCAGCACCGAAAGAGTTAACTGTGATAGGCGGGGGAAGTGCGGGGTGAGGGGTGGGGGCAGGACGCTTAGCTAGGCCGGGAGCTGCGCCCCGCGCTGGACGCTCGGATTCCGCCCGCTGCCTGGACTCTGAGCACAATTGCGTTTCCTGCGGGTTATTTTTGGCGTGGGAACGCGGGGAGCACGGCGGTGAGAAAGGCCGAAGCTGCCAGCGCCGCTGACGGGCCCCTTCCTGTATTTTACACCTTTTGCGAATTCCGCTCCTTTGGAAAGGGAATAATGGCTTTGGGATGTTGTTCTGACACAGAGGAAAAGGATATTTCAGCAGCACAACAATTCTCACTTTGAAAAGGAAAAAGAAAAGAATTACCCATCTCTGAGGGCAGAACCCCTGAATGGGCACCAGAGGACCCCTTACTCTCAGGGTCCTCCCGGACCTGGAGAGCTTTTCTTTTACTTTTTTCTCCCCCCTCCCTTTTGACCTCTTTTCCTCTTTCCCCTGCCTATCTGCCTCCAGAACACTGGGATATCTTAACATCCTTCTATTGTCCCCCTTTTGAATGGTATCAGGCCCTCTGCACATGTACACAGAGCAGCTAAGCAGTGGGACCTTGCATTCCTCTGGCCTGTGCTCGCTGGCAGGTGGGGGTCATCTGGATAACTGGTTTGATCCAGCAGTTTCTGGCACTCTTGGGCACTGGCTGCCCTTCCTTGACCCAGCCCTCTGCTCCTTCAGAGGCCTTGCCACCAGACGCACTCATCAGCAAGATCGCCATCCAGGGCTCCCTAGCTGTGGGCCAGAACTGGCTACTGGATGAGCAGACCAGCCGTCTCACAAGGCTGCGCTACTCTTACCGGGTCATCTGCAGTGACAACTACTATGGAGACAGCTGCTCACGTCTATGCAAGAAGCGCAATGACCACTTCGGCCACTATGTGTGCCAGCCAGATGGCAGCCTGTCCTGCCTGCCAGGCTGGACTGGGGAGTACTGCGAACAGCGTAAGCAGCCAAGTTCCCACCTGCCTGGGGGGGGGTCCCCTGAACAAATGTGGTGGCGTCTTCTCAGCCACAGCCTGCCTCTCTCTGTCAAGAGCAGGTCTGGGCTGTCCACTAACTGGGCCTCAGAAACAGCTGGGGATGCTTCGGATGGGCTTGGACTCTGCCCTCTCTCTTCTCAGTGCTCCTCCCCATCCTCCACATCATACTAATACCCACAAACACCCCTTTATTGCATTCCGTCCAGCCTGGATTCTCCTCTGGGCCATTGTTTCATCCATGGCCCCTCTGGGAGGCCAGGAGTGGGAAGTGAACCTGGGAGAGTGGGGGCACCCCTAGAGCCAGGAGAGGGAGAGTGGGGCTTCAGAGTCATTGGCATCCCACCCTCACCCAGCCCTGTTTTCTTTCCTCAGCTATCTGTCTTTCTGGCTGTCATGAACAGAATGGCTACTGTAGCAAGCCAGCGGAGTGCATGTGAGTAGGGGACAGGAAGCGGTGAGGGGGGAGCTGTCTCCTTGCCCGGCCCTCACCTCACCCTCAGCCTCTCTCTGTTCCACAGCTGCCGCCCAGGCTGGCAGGGCCGCCTATGCAACGAATGCATCCCCCACAATGGTTGTCGCCATGGCACCTGCAGCACCCCCTGGCAGTGTACTTGTGATGAGGGCTGGGGAGGCCTATTCTGTGACCAAGGTGAGTCAGGGCAAAGGGAGGGGACAGGAGAGATAGGAAGGGGATGAGGGACCAGAGTTGTCACCTAGACCCTTCTTACTGCTGAGCTCACTCTCCAATATCCTTCAAGGAGCTTGGGACTTGTAAGGATCTTAACAACTGGCCTAGAATGAGATGGTGGGTCCTTCTTCCTCAGGTACTGGGGGGACAGGATGGGTGGAGAAATCAGGAGGGCGACAAGTTGGCAGCCCGAAGGTTGCACTCATAAATTCCAGCAAGTCCGGAGAGAGGGATGCCGAGCTCAGTTCCTCTTTCTACCTTGTAGTTACCTATTAACCCCCTAAGTGTTTGCTTACCTGCCAGGGCTGTTTGAGCAGCTCTCCCCTAAACATCTGTCTGGTGGGGTGTGCCCACCGGCTGCCCCGAGGCTGGGGGTGAGCTGGGCCTCTGGGCGGAGTGACATCTAACCGCCTTCTCGGTGTGGCAAAAACAGCCTCCCTTGTTCTCCCCAACTGCACTTGCCAGGCAGCTGGCTGTCTCTTCCCGGTGTTTGGGGGGCTGGTCACTCTTTTGGCTGGACAGGGGTCTGCCAGCCCCCACCATGGGGGAGGGAGCCTTTTCTTCTTCATCCTAGTAGCCAGCTGCAGCGTGTGCCTCCCATTTTCAGGGTCAAAAGGGGTGGCTGCTGCCATGGAGACACCAGCACAGACCTGGGTAGGGTGGGCAGGACGCTTGCCAGGACTGAAAGAACTTGCCTGGGCCCTGACTTGCTGGCAACAAGGGGCTTTGAATTTAGCCCCTGTATTCTGTGTGTGTGTGTGTGTGTGTGTGTGTGTGTGTGTGTGTGTGTGTAGTAGAGAGACTCTCCTCCCTCCTCCCTCCCGACCCAACCAACACACACCACCTCCTCTCGTCTACCTCTTCTTTCCTCCTCCCTT